AGGGCAAACTTTTTGAGAAAGTATGAAAAGCTCAACGCAGCAGGAGAGTGTGCAAGTGTGATTTGGAAATCAAAGATGGATTTGATTCTTCTCTACTGAAAGAGGAACTAGACTATCTATATATATGTACAGCAGTGAGCCCAATGCTGGTAGGCATCAGAAACCATCAGGCTTCATAGACAAGATCTATGTCTAATAGGGACTAGACTAGAAAAGAAATATACAGTATTATACAATATGCAGTGCTGGAACCACATCCTCCCCTATCAGATCAGACTTTATCTCCAAAGTCTTCAGATTGAGAGTCCATTAGATAGGTTGAGTAAATGTGTCTCTGATCAGAGGAGAAAGACTTGAGGGGATTGTTGAGAACACATGTCATGTACAGTGTTTTGTAGATTCATTGCTGATAAGACACTATTGATAATGCTAATGTTTTTGTTGTTTTCTTACACAATTGATAGATTACTAGCACTGACTGTTTCTGATCTAGCAATGCATGTCTGATATCAACAAGTTCCTCTCTCTTCTTTCTTTTCCTCTTTCTCTTTCTCTATTGTGGTTGTTTACCTTTCTGTTTGCTGTTCATCATTCATTATCATTCTCTTGTTGTCTGTTTTTATCATGTGTTAATTCTTCATATCTTTCTTTCTCATACTGTCTGAAGATTCATTGTCATCACAATCTTGCATCTATCATCTTTCTCTCTGCTCTTTTTTTCTTATATCCTATCTTTTCACTGTTGACATGCCTTTGAAATTGCCCAAGACTCCTCTGCTGAAGTGTTTCTTGAAGAATGTTAGTTCTTTATTGAGCTGCAAGTGCAAGTTGGATCATTGTTGTTCCACTTCAGATCTTGTCATGTTAACTCATACAATGCAAGTTGGTAAGAAGTTCTTCTTTTTCCAGTTCATTATGTGCCCACAACTAATTCAAGTAGTTTCTCTCCACTCTGATAGAAAAAAGTGATGTAGAACTGAACATTATGATTGCTCTGACTCTTCTGCTCATACTGAGGTGCAACATTCATCTCTCAATTCTTTTGCAGATAGTGACAATATCAAAATGGCTGATGTCAACTCTGTGGTTGAGGCTGACAATACAAACAAAAATGTTAGTGATGATGATAATTCTGGTGGTGTGGAGTTGGAGCCTTTGCCCCAACTTTCAATATTGATTGAGAAAATTGTTAGTTCTGTTGAGAAATCTGTCATACTGTCTGTTGTTCTGATTGAAAATTCTGTTGTAGGACTCTTTGCTCTCATTGAGAAGTCTGTTGTCTCTGATGAACCTGTTGCTCTGACTGCACCAGCTGCCACTCTAATCAAAAAATCTGTTGTTTTACTTGAAGAACTCAATATTTCTGTCAAGAAGCTTTCAGTTAAGCCAATCATTGCTTCTGTTGAGAAGTTCATTCTTTCCATCAAAAAGTCTCTAGTCAAGTCAATTATCACTCTCACTGAGAAGTCTGTTCTTCTGATTGAACAACTCATTATTCCAGTCAAGAAATCTGTTGCTCTTCTTCCTGCCACTAACTGATTGTTGAACATTTTTTTCAAGTGTGTGAGCAGTTCTGTTGCTTGTGCTCCATTCAAAACAAACAATACTTTTTTGATTTCTTTGACTTTTAAAAGACTGTTTATTATTGTGCTTAAGACTTCAGCTCTTTCATTGAAGATTGTTGACTCTGAGTCTATCATATCCAAATCTTTCAATTCTGTTGTTGCTAAGCTCAAGCCCATCATCATCTTGTCTGAGAATACATTTAATATTGCTCTCTTGAAGACTTCTGCTTCATTCAAAAATATTATTGATCTTTTCAAAGTTTCTGTTCCCACATCTGATCATATCTTCATTAAGCTCAAATTTGTTGTTGTTACAACTTCTGCTTTAACAGAGAAACCAGCTCCTGAGCCTATTCAGCTTCTACAGAGTCTCAAGATTTTAATAAACTCTAAAACTTGAAAGAGATCTGATGCTTCTTCTCTCCTGTCTGCTGTCTTAATCAATAACAATGATTTAATCTGTAATGATTTTGTGACTCTCTACACATCATTTTCTAAGTTATCAGATTGTCTTCCCCATTGCTCTACAATCTCTTTCTCTGAGATGAATGTATCTGTATATGAAATCATAGACTTTGCAGCTTTAATCCTCCAACATTTTTTTGTCTCACCATCAACCCAAGCTGCTGTCAACATAGCAAGACTCAATATCAGACATTCAATCAAATGATGTGGGACTGCTTTCAATGATGTTCTTCTCAACTGCAAATCTATCAGCAAAGACTCACAGATGAATGCAGTGATTATTTATTTGTGTGATACTGTTAAAGACAAATCTTATATATTCTGCATCAAGAGCAACAGCTCTTTTCAGCAATGTGTCTGTGCTGTCAGTTCTAAAAATCTTGAGATGGGGAAGAGTGCTTGTGCATCTTGTATATGGCTCAACTCCCCTCATCTTTGCTCACTTCACTTCAATTATAAGATTGACACTGTTTCTGATGATGAACTGAAGCAATGATTGTTCTGTCCTTCACAAGCTAAATCATTGAACAACAAGTTCACTTTAATCAAGATGAAAGGCAGGTCAGCTATCCTCTTCAATACTCTCAAGCATGTGTTCTTGAAACTCTATTCTGATTTGCAAGCTTTTGTCACATCTCTTAAGAATTTCTCAGGTGATATAGAATGCCTCCACACCATCAGAAAAGTCATGATGTTGGTGTACACTAAGATTCTGAATCATATCAAGAAGCTGGAGGAGTTTGAGAATGAGAAAGAGTCTGAGGAGTCTTCTGAATCAGACTACAGTTGGTAACTTCTTGTTTGTGTTGTGCACCTTTGAGCACTTCATTCATCCCCCTCTTAGATAGAATAAATTAGTCAATAGAAATCAAGAAATTTTTGTTAATATCTTTCATTCTCCTTAACTTCATTGTAGCTAGAATGATCACTTAACAATCTATAATCATGAGCCTTAACTAAATCACAACAGCAAGGGGTTCATCAAACAAATCAGTAACAGATTGAGCTCTTCTCTCTACTCTACTCAACACATCACCATCAGAGATGTTTTCTCATTCATCACTGAATTCCTTCTGTTCTGATTTCAATGAACATTCTGACTCATCTTGATTTTTCATGCAGAATTGAGTTTTGCACTTACTGCTTGATCTGTAAGAGAGCTGATTACTTCTCAAGACAGTATCATCTTTCTGTCAATCTTTTTTTCTGATGATACTACATGTAACCACTCTCTTCTTTCTATCAGTGACTGAATCATTCTCTAAACCATCTTTGAGTTTCTTCCACTTGCATTTGATGATTATTAATAGTTTCTGATAGGAACTAACTTCATCTTCATACATGTTCACAATGTGTTGTATCTCTATAGATCTTTCAACTGACAGACTCTTCTTCTTTAGAGCATGAGTCACCATCAATAAAGACTATAATTCTTCCAAATTCTCTACCTCTGTCTTTACCAATCTTGAACTGTTGATAAGATTCTTTAGAATTCAACCACTCAGTTCTTTCAATGTGTATGTTTCAAGTGGGTGTGATTTGATTACTTAATAGAGACCAAACCACCATGGTTGAAACTTCTCTGGACTCTCATTCTGAATGAGAACTCATGTTCTGACTTTGAAATCTGTTTTGTGGACTACATCATCTTGTATACACTTCAATTTGATAGCCCAGTTGAGGAGGAGTTCATTCACTAATAATTGTGTGTGGGTGACATTTCAAATTTACTCATCCACATTCTTGATGAGGACATCATCTGGAATTGGTTTGTTATTGTCAGATGGAATATGTGAATGCACATCATATAGAAAATAGAAGGGGCTCAGCTTATTTGTCACATGTAAATGTATGTGTGCAGTGAATAAAGCTTGCAACAAGTACTCATCTCAAAGTCTAGTTGACTTGCTGAGAAGATATTTTGTTAACATTCTACTGATAAGACTGTTTAGATTCTCAATCTTCTCATTCATTTGCAGGTGATAAGATGTTGTTGTGCAGTGCTTTATCTTTAATATTGCTGTATAGTGTCAAATGGCTTCTGACAGGAGATTGGCACCATTATCTGACAACAACTCACATGGTACATCAAAGTTAACAAATATCTCATCATGAATAAACTTCACAATCTCTTCATTCATTGCTTTCTTGAGAGGCTTGACTATCAGCCAATCAGTTGTGTAATTGACAGCTGTTATAATCCATCAATTTCCATTGAGTGTCATGAGCAAGATTTCTATAAGATTAATGGTTCATCTCTTGAAAGACTTTATACTCATGTCTACCATGTGCTGAGCTTCTCCTCACTTCAAGCTCTTTTTCAATTCTTTTACAACTTGACAATTTGGGCATCACTTGATCTCATTCTGGATTTGTGTCTCCATATTGAACCAGTAGTCATGAGATTGAACAACTCCCAGAAGTTCCAGACACCCAAGATGACTGAATTCATTGTGCATTTATTGAATTAAGTTACTTCAAAAAGACTTTTCAATATACAGCACTTCTGTATTTTCATCAACAATCCAAACAAGCATCTCATCACACCTATTGCTTGAATTCAATTTCCCATACTGAAACATATAACTCATCTTTTCAACTGATCAGCAAAGTGTTGGGTTGTTGGACAGTTGTTTTGATTGAAGATAGATCATCATTACTTCATACTACTTCTTCTCTATACACTTATAGAGAGCAGTGAGAGACTCTTCTTGAGCAATATTGGCTGATTCTTAATCAAGAAAATTGGAACATTTACTGATAGTGTTGAGAACAATAGCTTTCTTATCTGGATGATATTTGATTAACAGATCATACTCCTGAAAATCAACAACTCAATGAGTGAGACATTTCAACAGCTTATGTGTTGTCTGAAGATACTGCAGACTCTCATGATTAGTGACTATAGTGGTCTGCATTCTGTTGTTGATATACCAATTGAACATCTTCAACACATGCTTTATTGCTAAAAGCTTCTTTTTGTGAACTGAATAATTCAGTTCAGCTTCTGAAAGTTTCTTACCATCAAATACAACTGAATGGAGGAGGTTGTTGTTCTCCATCTGATAAAGAACACAGTCAATGATCCATTTCAATACATCTGTCTCAATTGTATAAGTTTTGTTTCTATCTGGTTGAATTGTGACAGAATTCTTTATTATCATCTCATGCAATTTCAGAAATAACATCTGACAAGACACATTCCAGACAATCAGATGAAACTTCTTCTTTCTCAGTTTCTCATTTAACTTCTTTAAAAGATCTGATAGAGGCATGATGATTCTTGCAAAGTTCTTAATGAACTGCTGATAAAATGTGGCAAGATCTAAGAACTGTCTAACTTCATGCATGTTCTTTGACAAAGACCATTTTGTGATCACATTTATTTTTGCTGATAGTGGTCAGATGACCTCCTTTCTGACAATGTGACCACAGTACTCAAGCTTGTTCTTCAAAAAGATGCACTTGAACATCTTGATGTACAACTTGTGTGCATGAAACTTGTTGAATACTTTCTTCAAGTGCTTGAGATGTTCTTTCATGAATTTCAAAAAGACAATAATATTGTTGAGATACATCAGGTAAAAGATACCAGTATACTTTATTAGAACAACATTCATCATCATTTGAAACAAGAGTGGAGTGTTTGTGAGTCTGAAAGACATGACTAGAAACTCATACTTCTCTCATTGAGTATTGAAGGCTGTCTTTTCTATCAATAGTTCACTCATTTGAACTTGTCAGAAATCTGCTGCTAAGTCAACTTTCAACAAGATCTTTGTGATTTCAATAGTGTCCAGTAGTTTCTGTATTCTAGACAACAGATACTTATTTTTCTTGATGATTTTATTAAGAGCTTGATAGTTAACACATATTTGTCATGCTTCTTCTGCCTTCTTTGTAAATAGAACAGAAAAACTTCAAGAGCTAGCTGATGATCAGATCAGTTCTTATTTCAAAAGATTATTGATTTGCTGCTTCTGTTCTTCCAGAAGTGCTTGTGATAGAGAATAAATGTGAATATTTATCAGATCTGAATCTCCTGTATTGATGTTCATTTTAAACAGTTGATCTGATGAAAATCCCAGTGATAAATTCTTCTAGAAAACATCACTATACTCATCAAGCAACTTTTTCAATTTAGAATTCTTGATAGAAGTATTCTTCTTCTCTTCCTCTTTCTTTTTCTTGAGCACATATAGGAAACACTTCATTGTAGGCTTTTGAAGTGTGTGCACTAACTGATAAGCTGTCATTAAATTAAGTCTTTCAGCTTCAGCTAGCACATATTATTGCATGTTGCAAGACAGTATTGTGTGGCACTGCTTTCTTCAATTGGTGATTGACATTATTGATGATTTCCAGCTTATATGCAGATTTCAATGCTGCAGCCACATCTTTTCAAGAATCAGATTATATTCAAAGTTGTTGAGAACTCTTGCAGGGATTTGGCATTTGAATAAGCTGAATTCAAGATAGAGATAGATCTGATAATTGAACCACATACATCCCCCATTCAGTAATCAAATGGCTTTTCTCAAGAGAATGAGCTTTGCTCCTATTCTTGCTGCTAGATTTCAACTAATAAACTTGATCAATGCTCTCAAATTCAATAAGATCTGAACTGTTTCAGCTCTATTGAAATCTGATGTTACTATCTTTTCTTAATAAAGCATCATTTCTGATTCTGCAGCATTGAGGTGTTCAGCATCTGTTGGAATTGTTTCAGTATTGAAGGATTTCAACTTAAGAATTTCTGCTGGGTTCAGCAGGTTGAGGAGATTGGGAATCTCATCAATTCAAAAAACTTCATAAAGAGTGTCAGCAAGTGCCTCTGCATTCACTGACTCCTCTCATTTCTCAATCTGAATTTTGCATTATTCTTTTTCTTTCTCTTCCTTCTCAGATGCTTTTTATCCAAATTCTTTTTATCTGAGCATGCACCCATGCTGTGACTTCTCAGATCACAAATATAACAAGCTTTGTTTCTACAGCATTACAGTCACCATGCTCATGAGTTCTTCTTTAGAGGATTTGATCTTTGAAGCATTGCATTGATTTCATCAATCTCTATATTGTTGAGAGTTGTGTTCATTGCACTCAGATTCATTACATTGAGGTTGAAAGTCTCAGCATGATTTCTTCAAGCTGATTGATCTCTCATCATTCCCATGGCTTCTTCTATATCTTTCAACACTTTCACAATAATATCTCTTGTTATTGACTTTTGGTGTTCTTGTTTCCATTCTGCTAGAACATCAGATTTCAGTCTGTTCAATAGTAACTGGATATAGACAGATTCCAGTAGGGAGTATCTGAGTTCAATGTATGCCTGGTTGAGTTCAATCAAGAAGAATTGGACATCTTCTTTTTACTTGATGTTCACAAGACACTTCCATTGGTAGTTGTCAGCATTGAGCTTGAAGTATCATATCATGATTCATTTTTTGAATTCTTGCCACATCATTAACATTGTGTGATTGTTCAGGTCTCAGTCTGCTAGATCTTCTTTGACTGCTCATCATCAAGCTGCATCTTCAGTAAGTCAGATTGAGACTAGAGTGACTTTCTGAGAGTTGGTCACTTCTCTTTTGATGAAGATTTTCTCTCAATTCCAGTACAATTGACATTTGAAAAGCCACTTGTTGGCTGTGTTGTCAGTTATCTTTTCATTATATTCTTTTGATTTTTCAAGTTCAGAGGCTTTTCAGATTGGTGTTTTTTTATTAGTGATTGGTGCATTGATGATCAGTATGTTCATGACTGATATGCCAGCAGTTGAAGCATTAGGGGGTGGTGTAGGCTGTGTCTGTCTGTTTAATTGCTTGATGAAGACAGATTGCTGTCTCTTCAAGTTATTCAATTGCTTGATCATCTCTTTCCTCATGCATCAGATTTCATTTTCCATATTGTCTCAAATTCTGTCAGCTTGGGTCTTTCTCTCTTGTTGTCTGATATGCTGTGCTTCTGCTCTGAATGAGTGTAAAGCTGCTTCCAGTTGTCTACCTGCTGTGGCAGATGCTTTGTTTTTGGTCATGCATTTTCATAGAACTGTCAATGCATTGTGAATTGTCAGGTGATTCAGGGAGTTTGGTTTGGTGAAGTGGCTTGAGATAGGAGTTGAGACTTCAGAGTCAGTCAGAACTTCAAGACTGAAAGTCATCTTGATATTGTCTGATATAGATGCAATGGTAGATATTGAGAGTTGATAGTTATTGTGAGGTATAATAAACAGTTATCTTGCAGTCATGCTGCATGAATCTGGTTGAAAAGAGTGAGATATTTATCATTAAAGAAAAAACTCTGTTAAGATTCTGATTTGTTGAGGCAGTCTCATGAAAAGAGGCCTCATCAGTGACCTTTTGGAGTTCCCAAGTTGAGTAGTGAAAGCAGATTCTCAAATCATAAGACAGAATCTTTTGACCACCCCATCAGAGGTGTTTGCTTCACTAAAGAGGTTTCACTTCTGATGAGGAGGACTTGACATGCTATCAGATGTGATATGAGAATCAAAGATGGATTGATTCCCCTCTACTGAAGAGAAACTAGACTATCTATATATATGTACAGCAGTGGGTCTGATGCTGGTAGGCATTGGGGATCATTGAGCTTTGTAGACAAGATCTATACCTGATAGAGACTAGACTAGAAAAGAAATATATGGTACTATATAATATGTGGTGCTGGAACCACATCTGTTCATCTAGTCTGTCTGCTATTCAGTGTCTTGATTTGAAAGAAGTATTAAAGATTATTATAATTGATTTGTATGTGAAATGACTGCTTACTATCTTCCAGATAGTGATGTTAATGCTTAAAGTATTTCATAATTGCTAAAAGCTCTTAATCATGAGCTTCATATCATTGCTCAATCTCATTTATCTTGTAAAAATAAAAGATCACAGAGTGTCAATTGTGTTGTTGTCTCTATACTTATTTACTGCTAGATTGCAGCAATATTGCTGCAATCACATATTCTGAAGCATCAGTAATTATCAAAATATCTTTATCTTTATTAAAATGAATCAATAATGAGAGAGTGCTAAAAGCATCTTTAAGATCTCTGAAAGCTTGCCACATTCTTGCTGTTAAATTAAAAAGTTTATTTTATTTTTTCAATAATTCAGTTAACAGAGCAGTAATATCAGTATAGTTAAATATAAAATATCTAAAACAGTCAGTAAATTCTAAAAACATCTGAATATTATGAATAGAGTTAGATTCTAATCAGTTAAACATCATTCTCAAGTGGCTTTCATTCAGACAAATTCCATCATGTTCAATAATATATTTGAGAAATTTCACCTCCTCTTTGTGGAATTTGCCTTTTGATAATTTAGCATATAGATTGTGGCTATGTAGTTACTGTAGAACTTTAATAATGTGTTGAATATATTCTTCTTCAGTTTGAGAGAAAATAAGAATGCTGTCAATATATATGATAATGTGGTCATTCAGAAGATTACTCATAATGTTATTGATATATGTCTGAAAGATCACAGATGTATTGCAGAGACTAAATGACAAGACTGTATATTTAAAATGATCATATTGAGTATGAAAAGCTGTTTTCCATTTATCATCACAATGTATCTGTATATGCTGATATGCATTGTGGAGATTCAGCTTGATTAGTCATTGTGTGTCACTCAGTTTATCAAGTAATTCATTATTTTGAAGTAGAAGATAGTGATTTTTAATAGTTACTGCATTTAATTCTCTATAATCAATACAAAGTTGCAGCAACTCATTGACTTTCTTGACAAAGAGTATGAGTGCTCCCACAGAACTAGTGAAAGATTGAATTCATTCTTGTTGTTGTTTATCTTCAATATATTTCTGTAAGATATTCAATTCTTTTATTAATATAGCATAAATCTTTTTCTAAGATGGTATTTGATCTTTTTGTAAGTCAATCAAATATTTCATGTAACTATCTGACAGCTTATTAACTGCTTCTGAAGATTTGAAGAGAAGACTTCTGTGTATTGTTGATAATATTTCAGAAGACTGAGTATGATGTTTTTGAATTTTTGTTTCACTAGAAGCATGTAAACAACTTCATGTTGAGAAGTCTTAAAAAAATAATATGAGTTCTCAATTTGAAGCTTGACTGATTTCTTGCTGTGATATTGGCAGAATCTAGTGGATCAATCAATAATGAAATTTGTCTCCACTAGTCAAGATAGATCTAGTAACATATTATATATTGAAAGATTTATAATTTTGAATATTCAATTAATTGTCTTCTCTATTTCTTCTGAATTCTGACAATCTCAGGCTAGGTGCAAGAATTCAAGAAGAAGAATCTAATAAACTGCTATACTAGATAGATCTAATTCAAAAATACTAAACATGGTGAAGAAAAGAGGAGTCTGAAGTGATCATGCAATATATACTCTCTTGTTCTCAAAAATCAGAAATTCAAAACTCACCCAATAACAGTCAGAATTGAATGGAACCACATTCATTTGAAAGCTCACATCTGATTCACCCTATTTCTTCAGCTTTGCAGCAAGATTTGGTGTGGTGGTTGAGAAATAAGGTGGTGAAGTCAATACCCCCAATTTCAGGTGGAAATCCACCTCTTCAACCATTACTCAACAACCACACAATTTCTTGCTTGGAAATTCAAACCACATACTCTTTCAGTCTCCAGTTCAAA